ATACAATAACATACACATGATATGCATGAATACTATTTTTATCTATTGTGTAAAAATAGGTTATGTTAAACTTTTTTTATAAAGACACACAAAATAAGTATTGACTATATAGGGCAAATGGTCTATATTTGTGACGCCCCCGATTCAACCGTACACTAATCATACACGCAAATGTGCACGATCAAGATCAGGGACTCACGGGAAGATATCACAACACAACTCTAGACACAAATAAAATAATACAAGCTTTATATTACAAGCCATGGGGCCCGAGGGCTCGAATACATAGCTCGATACACAAGAGTCAGCGGAAGCAACAATATCTGAGTACAGACATAAATTAAACAAGTATGCCTTAAGAAGGCTAGCACAAAATACACAACGATCGAAGAGGCAAGGCCTCCTGCCTGGGACCTCCTAACTACTCCTGGTCTTCGGCGGCCTCCATGTAGAAGTAGGCACCATCGGGTAGTAGTAGGCGTTGGCGGTGGCATCTGGCTCCTGGGATCCACCAACTGGTTGCAACCGGAAAGAAGAAAGAAGGGGGAAAAGGGGTAGCAAAGCAACCGTGAGTACTCATCCAAAGTACCGGCGCGTGCCCATCGCTTGGCTTCATCTTTGATGGCACTAGAGAGGTTGCAGTTGGATGGTTGCTCGCCGTCGAAGATGACTGTGTTTTTGTGCTTCCAAATGTACCAAGTTGTGATGATCGCCAGAGAGGCAAATAACATATTTTGAAAGTGCCAAGACAATAAGGCACGGGTGGTGGTGCATCGTCCTCCTCCGCAACATGGCTACAACGATCTCGAGCAGATGCACGACAATGATTGTGGTGATCCAACCCCGCTCGATCGAATGATGGTGACCGTAGACTATACTACAACGATCTCCTAAATCTCAATGACAAGGGTGGTCACCAAAGGTCTTCGAAGAGGGTTATCTTTTTATGTCTGGTGGTTGACATCGACGATGAGATGTAGACTATGGTTAAAGTCTTGACACAGAGGGATGATTATGGAGCGGTAGCAGTCGCACATTGCATGTAGCTCCTTTGATCATGGAAAAGTGGTGGCGACGACGAAGGTGTGACTTCGAGGTGGTGCTATCGAATCTGAGTTGATTATATCGACAACACTTTTTTTGCGTCATTATATTATTAAAGGCATCAGTGTCGCTTCTTTTTTGAAGGCGTTGTTGTTAAAGAACACCGTTGTCCGTATGGCGTTGTGGAGGCTATATGCTTATAATGTCCGTATCCTCATGCTTGATGCTCCATTTTATCAGTAAACGTCTTACGGGACACGGAGGGAGTAGTAAATAAATGTTATCCTTTGTCGGAAAAAAGAGCTCCTCACTGTTTGGTTTTGTCCGTAGAACCCCACAAGGCCACCCACCGGCTACAGTGCCAGTCCCACACCCACAAAGCCCCAAAGTCCAAAGGGAAGGGAGAGAGGAATCAATCCCATACCCACATAGCCACACAGCCTCACCACCCTCTCACTCCTCTTCCCCGATTCTTCCGCCGATTTCTCCTCTTCCCCCATCCCCCACTCCACTCTCCCCATCATCTCGCACAGCCCATCGATCTGCCTGCCCCCTTCCCAGCTTGGCTGCTTCAGCATTTCCTTCCATAGATCAAGCTGCTCCCAAGAAACGAGGAAAAAGCTGTGGCAACACTCCTGCTCCACTGACCGCTCCGCACACTTCACTCGAAAAGCAGAGCAGATCGAGCCAGAGCGCGTGGCCTCGGGCACACAACCGCTCCACCGATGAAGCCCGCCGCCGTGAGGAAAGACGCTGGCGGCGGCATTGGCGGTGGCGCGTTCGGCATCTCCTGCCTCGACATCAAATCCTTCGGCGCCTCCCTGGTGCTCTTCGCCCTCATCATGGCGCTCTGGCAGTTCCACCCGTACCAGCCAATCCTCGCCATCACCCGCTCCTCCTGTCCCCTCATCCCTCCCCCATCTACCGCCGCCACCGCCGCCACCACCACCACCACCGCAGTATCCTTCTTCAACTCCACAGCCGACAGAGCCGCACCGACCACTGCCGCCAGCGCGACAAAGGCGCCAACCTTGCCATCCCGGCCACGGGACCCCAACAAGCGGGAGCTCCGGCCGTACGGCAGCGCGGCGGCGCTGTTTGTCCAGATGGGCGCGTACCGGGGCGGGCCGCGCACATTCGCCATCGTGGGGCTGGCGTCCAAGCCGGCGCACGTCTTCAGCACCCCTTACTTCAAGTGCGAGTGGCTCCCCAACCCGGACCCGGCCGGCGGCCCGCCGCCGAGGCCCGTCCGGACCAAGGCGTACAAGATGCTGCCCGACTGGGGTTACGGCCGCGTCTACACCACCGTCGTCGTCAACTGCACGTTCCCGACCAACCCCAACGCCGGCAACCGCGGGGGAAAGCTCCTCGTCCACGCCTATTATTCCACCTCCTCCCGCCGGTACGAGCGCTTCGTCGCGCTCGAGGAGGCGCCGGGGTCGTACGACGGGTCCCGCTTCCAGCCGCCGTTCCCCTACGAGTACCTCTACTGCGGCTCCTCCCTCTACGGCAACATCAGCGCCCCGCGGATGCGGGAGTGGTTGGCCTACCACGCGCATTTTTTCGGCCCAAGGTCGCACTTTGTTCTCCATGACGCCGGCGGCGTCAGCCCGGCGGTCAAGGCGGTTCTGGATCCGTGGGTGAGGGCCGGCCGGGTCACTCTCCAGGACATCAGGGCGCAAGCAGAGTACGACGGGTACTACTACAACCAGTTCATGGTGGTGAACGACTGCCTCCACCGGCACCGCCACGCGGCGAACTGGACCTTCTTCTTCGACGTCGACGAGTACATCTACCTCCCCGACGGGCGGTCGCTGGAGGAGGTGCTCGGCCAGCTCGAGCGGTACACGCAGTTCACCATTGAGCAGAACCCCATGTCCAGCAAGCTCTGCGTGGAGGATCCGACCAAGGGCTACTCGAGGTTTGCTTTCTTCCCTACTCTAGGCCTCTACCTTCTCCATCTATCTTTGTTAACTGTTGCTGCAATTGTTTATGCCTGTTGATATTCCCGTTGAAATCCAACAAAGATTCGTGCAATACAATACTGCAATCGGGGCAAGATATCCTTGTTTACCGCATAACGTTCCTGGAATCCAGTGAGTGTCCGCAGAACTTGCAATGTAGCTCCAGTCACTGTCCATTTGTTTTTTTATCAGCACACATGCTTCAAGAACCTAGGTTGTGAGTCACACTAGCCTATGCGTTAGGTTGATTTTGGGCAGTGCGACTGTTTTGTTCCTTTCCTTACTAAGTTGAAGGCAGTTTGACCTTGGTCCATTGCGGGATTTTCTGAATTTAGCTCAGCCCTACATCAAATACTGCTGGCCAGCTTGGGGCTACTTTCCTAAGTTACTCTTTTGTTTTCTGACAGTGAACCTAAAATTGTGCATCTTTTGTTTCGGGGTAGAGTCACTACATAAACAAGTGTTTTTTTGTTCCGAAAAGAAACAAGTGTAAATCTTTAAGCAAATAGTTGATGAATGGTTGCACACTCATGGCAATGAGAGTCAATCAGCGGCGAGTATTACATCAGTGAAACCAGCATCCTGCGATTAAGCTGCAGCTTTGTTCAGAGCATAGTTCTCCATGAGAAAGCAACTATTCGTCAATTAGTTCGTCCTCCATCTGGCCATGGCATGTTCAGAGCAGAAAGTGATATTGTTCATCAGCGATGATGATTTCTTTTATCATGAATTAAGCTGCAGCTTTGTCCATTTCTGAGTACTCCCTCCGTTCCAAAATAGATGACCCAACTTTGTACTAAAGTTAGTACAAAGTTGGGTCATCTATTTTGGAACGGAGGAAGTAGTTGCCAACAACACATTGTTTTAGTAGTTAACTCAAGAAAAAGTGTTTGCCACTATTTCTGTTCTAATTGAACCTCACAAGAAATCTTTGCATAATAGGGTTTCTTCTAGACTTCTTTCGGATTGCTGATGCTCTATTCCATGCTAGTTAAAAAGCTTGTGTTGATATCAGACGCTAATAAACTCAATCATGCTTTGGCCATCAGTTTGTTGCTTCACTAGGAGGGGCCTATAATTTTGTACCAATGCTACTCTGTGTGCAACCTGAGTGTTGTTGCTGTAATAATTGTTAAGAACCTAGATATTTACATGACCTACTCAGCTTATGTGAATATTTTATCTCACGATAACGTAAATGAATGAAACACAACTGGCACTGGCTGTTTTTAGTGTGTGAGTTAGGATTATGGTCTCCATTTGATAAGCCAAAAGTAGGTGCATCACTCTTTTAATTTATTTCTGCATATTCACTTTGTGCATGCGAAAGCGTGCACGTGCGCGATCTGTCTAGCAGACTTTCTCATACTAACACATTTATATGTGATTGGTCTTCAGGCAGTGGGGGTTTGAAAAACTTGTTTTCCGTAATTCGATCACCGGAGTCAGGCGGGATCGCAAATACGCCATTCGAGCAAGGAATGCATACTCCACTGGTGTGCACATGTCTCAAAATGTGTACGGGAGGACGACCCACAAAACCGAAAGCTTGATTAGATACTACCATTATCATAACTCGATCAATGTCATGGAGGAGCCTTGCCGGGAGTTTGTGCCGAAACCCACCAATGGCAGCAAGGTAATGTTTGAGGAGGTACCGTACGTCTACGACGATAACATGAAGCGTTTGGCGGGTGATATCAAGCGCTTCGAGGAGGAGACAGTTGGCGTGGTCTATTCATAGCATCTGGAGGAAGACCTTAGTCTGGTACATACATAATGCTGTTCTTTGGGGTACCTTGGTCTCCAACTGCGCCACTAAACCCAGTGTGCAACCAGTGTAAAGTTTTGGTTCCCAGCATTCTTGGCTCCGCGTCAATTCGACGCATTTCCTTTCTTTCTTCTTTGTTGTTCTTTAAGCTCATCTTTGATGTCTTATAGATTTATGTAGACGAACTGTTGGACATTATCAGATTCTTCTCATCTCAATAGACAGCAGTTTGTGCCTGATTTTTGTACTAGTTTAATTTGTAAGCTCTCGCAGCAACATTCCTGCATGTGGAGTTGTCAAGGATTCTTCTGGTCTGATTCCTGAGTGTACCATAAGGTAAGGGCAAGGTGCCATGGATCTTGCGCCCTGTAGGCTAGAGACGAGTGTTTGTAACTGTACCTAGTGCTGATTGATGAAGTCCTGGATGGAGCTGTAGCAAAGCATAAGAATCAAGATCTGGTCTGGTGTACTGTGTCATGTGAGCTTTTTTTCTGTTGCTATGTTATGTGAGCTGAATCAAGTTCATGCACCGAACACCCGTAGTTGGGCTAGCCCATGAGCGTAATTTCCTGTGGGATGCTCTCTGTGTCGCCCGGCGTACCCTAATTTCGCGCGTGCCCCTCCAGCCTTCGATCCTCCTTTTGGGCCGGCTCATTCACGGATTTCTTCCCCACCGGTTTTGGGAAGGTTCAAGAACCTTCTCTGAACCTTTTTTTCCTGTTTTCTATTTCCTTTTGGTTTTCTTTCTTATTTTTTCCTGTTTTCATATTTAATTTCTTTTTTTTCAATTAGCAAACATATTTCAAACTCATCAACATTTTTTTGAAATCATGAACAGTTTTTGAAATCATGAATATTTTTTTGAAACCATGAAGATTTTTCAAATTTATAATTTTTTAAATCGTGACTTGTTTTTGAAATAGTGGACATATTTGTTTACAAATTCGTGAACATTTTTTGAAATTCAAAGATTTTTCAATGTAGGGATTTTTTTTAAATTCGTGTGCATTCTCTTCAACCGTGAACATTTTTTGAATTTGCAAACTTTGTTTTTCAAATAGTGAACATTTATTGAAATCATGAATATTTTTTTAAATTCGTGAACATTCTCTTAAACCCTGAACGAATTCTGAACATTTTATGAATTCATGATTTTTTTAAATCAAGATTTTTTTGAATCTGCAAACATTTGAAGATTTCTTTTTTTTGTTCAAAACACACATTTTTTTAAAAATGGAAATTTTTGTAATCCATAATTATTTAAATTAAAAACAGAAATTTAAAAAGATAAAAGAAAAAATTGAAATAAAAAACAGAGCGCTCGGACATGGGCCACCCCAAACGGGTGGGCTGGGTGAGCGAGGGTATGTGCTGCCGTTCCTCCCAGCGCGTACCGCGCCTATATAGGAGCTCCCGTGTCGCCCGTACCAAGCACTACAGACGAATCCCCGCTAAATCCTATTTGGCGCCTTATGCGCCCGCTACAGTACAACTCGCAACTTGCAATCTTTGGAGTAAACGAAACGATCGAGCGGGATAGCTGGGGAAGCAGGCGTCGTACGAGCTCGTCGGCTCGTTCATGGGCCGTCCCACTTAGCCAGGCACGTGGGCGTTGGTTTCCTCTTGCGGCGCATAAGGCGCTGGCGAGGAGCACTGCGCGGGAACCGGGCAGCCGCGATAATACTAGACTCACGGGCATGTTTCAGCAGACTTCACGGGCTGAAGAACATGCCCTAATCTAATTGGCCATCTGTGAATTTAACTGGTGGGTCTCGTCCTAATTAACTAAAACCACAACCATTAGCCTTTGATTAGCCCATAAATCCCCCCGTGTGTGTAGCATTACTCAAGCGGCCCAGTAGCGCTCGCTAGAGGGGGATTATGGTTTTATTCGATGAGATTCACAGTGTTTTTTCTGTTTTGTGAAGCCGTTTTTTCGATTTTCTACTGACCATTTCTTTTTTCTTTTTTCCTTCTTCTACTTCTTTCTCTCATTTTTTTCTTTTTGTGTTTTATTTTTTAATTCATGCACTTTTTCAAAACTCATGAATTTTTTTTCTAATTTATGAAGTTTTTTTAGTTCATGAACTATTTTAGAATTTGTGAATCTTTTTGAATCCACGACCATTTTATCAAATAAGTAGCAATTTTAAAAAAATCTTGTGTTTTTTAATTCGTGGACATTTTTATAAGTCTTAATAACTTTTTTCAAATTTGTAAACTATGACCAGTTTCGATTATACTCAGACCAATGACAACAATGGCGTACAAGCTGCCCACCGGAATCACGCTACCGTACTCCATTAGTCATATATACCGTCATATTTACAATCAAGCTTTGACAATGAACTAGTTGTCGTTATAAAATTGCATTCAAGTATACTAAGAGATATATTTTTCTTTTTTCATAAAGAAGGATTACCCGGCCTCTACATCAAGCGATACACACAACCATTTTTATTTTATCATTTAATAAGGCCTCATAAAATAACTCAAGTGATAAGTGTCGCGCGTATTGACTCTGATACCACCATTAGAAAACATAGTAGAAAACAAAAAAATTCGTCCTACGATCAACCAGAAACACTATGAAGATGCAATAACAGTTTAGATCAGACTATTACCAACTCCGAGTTGCAGCGAAATAAGATGAGTTGGTGTAGATCATACTTGAAGTTCCTCAAACCGTTCACGAACGATCGCTCGAACGAAAGACTAAAAGCACGGCCTCTCCACAGTTAGCAAGCGTATGGTCTTCACGACCCAGCAGTATGTCGTCGTTCAGAGCTAATCGCCGCGGGAGAATTAGAGAAAGAATATTAGAACCACACTAGACTTCTAATTATGAGGAAAAGAGATGCTTAGATCTAGCTCAAGTTGGATCAACTAGAACTAGAGGAGGCTCCAAAACGTGTGTCTCCAAAGGCCAAACATCCTTTAGTATATATAGGTTGAAGGGAAAGGGAGGGTGGCCGACTTGGGGAGGGTTTCCCTCCCCTTGCGCTGGCCTAGCGGCTGGTGGAGTCCAACTCCACCTCCCCAATTCGGCATCCCCCTAGGGCGCCTCCACTAATGGGCCTTAGGGCCCATTAACTCTCCCCTAATAGGAATTTTCTTATTTTCTTTAGCCCGTTGACTATGAATAAATTCCAGGGGCCTCCTAACTATATTAGAGCCCTTTATAATTTACATTTAAGTCCTCGAAATAATTTCCACCTATAAATCAATTCCCGATATTACCCGGTAAACCCTGAAATCCTTCTGGTAACTCTGAAACGCTTCCGGTTCCTCTCGAAACTATTTTGAATATCAATGAAACTATTTCATAAATATGTTCTCATAACTCTTGCTCCACTAACACTTAGCAGAACGTGATTCCCTTGAACTTGTGACCCTGTAGGTTCGGTAAAACATAGACATGAACAAAACCCCTTTTGTTCAATGACTAACAGCGAAACCATGGATATCTGTATTGGTCCCTTGAATAAACGAATGATACTCGAGTGAACCTTTGGTTATCATGTGCTATTCCCTTTTCTCTTGATACTTACAAAACCCGAGGCAAAATATATCGGTATCCTCTTGAGTCATTCTCATGCTCACTACATCGATCTCCTCGTTACCAGTTTTGTTTTTCTTTCTCGTTGGCATGTCCTAGCCATACGATGATGGATGTCACCTGTGTCTGGCCATGCGATGATGGATGTCGTGACACTGAGAGGGCCCTAAGAATATCTACCATCGACGAAGGAGAAAATCCCACTCTTGAGCTATCTAGCCCCTTGTCAAACTTTTCGATGAACCAGTTAGTTGTCATTATGATCATCGTGTTACATATGACGTTTGAGCAACCCCAAAGTCCATCGTACAATAAGAAGTGAATACAAAACTTTCATGGTCTAAGGAACTAAATCGCACCTTAACTCTTCATGTTATAACACTTGACTTGTGACGATTGTATCTCAAATTATAACAGACAAGTTTGGGTCGATCCAATATGATCGTTCTTTGAATGTCATATTCTCAAAGTTGTTTTAGAACTATCATTACACTTAAGATATCCTAAGAACCGGAAAACATGATCACAAACAACACCTTGAGCTAGTCTTGGAGGCAAGACTAGGAATCAAGTTTTACCGTTTATCATTCCACACGTGCATATGAGTTTTCTACTGAATCACACATTCTAGGCTCCCGCTCTTGCCCATGCCTCGCCGCTCCTCTCCCCGAGATCCCCTATCTCCAAGGGTCAGCGGCAAATAGGCGACATCAGGAAGGCAGGAGAGAGGAGGTGTCCTCCGGTTCCTTGATGGTTCCGGACACTCTCCTGCTCCCACCATATTTGAGAAACTAATTTCATTCACACATCATAGTTTTGAGTGTGGTTTCAAAATATTTGAAAAGAGTCAAAATTAAAGGAATTCCTTCTGAACTATAATAAACTATTCAACCAAGCTTTTCTTTATTGGATAGAACATTATCCAACTTTTATAACAAGGTTTGAAATGGTTTAAAGAAAGATTCAAAAAAATTTAATTTTCCCTAAAAATCATAGCAATTCACTCTTCAAAAAGTTTTGATTTCCCCTAAAAATCATAGCAATTCATTGAATAATATATTATTATTATTAACATTCCAAATTTTGGAGTTTTTTTGGATGTTAGACTATGCACACCTTTAAGTTTGTCATTCTAATCTAAAGTAGATCCCCAATGTCACCTCAGACAACCCCGAGAACTATACTAAACAATCACCTTTCATGAAACAAAATGTTCAATCTTTTTCTAATGAGTCACCACAATGTCACTATGGGTGTCTCCAAAGATTATATTAGATATGTATCACATAATCTCATTAACTCCTTAAGTTCAAGAAAATAAAAGACAAAGATTCAATCCATAAAGGTACTAATCGCAAAACATACATCATACAATTCAACTAATCACCATGCCCACAATCGTAATCATGGTGGA